CAGGTTTTGGATTGCTTCCAGATGAAGACTCATAACCAATGCCTCTTCTGTTGTTTCCACTAACACCATAGATCATGGAAGCCATCTTGCTTCTGTCTATGCTCTTAGTGAGAAACCTCTGAAAACTAGAGTCATATTTTTCTAAAATATTTTCACAAGACTTAGTTTCAGAATCAGATTCTTGTTGAGTTCTATCAAAGTCATTTTTGATTTTTAAATTTATTTCTTTCTGCTCAACAAGTTCTGTTTTCAAAAGATCAATCTCAGATTCAAGATTGCTTTTCAGCTTCTTGTATTTGAGTTTGATGTTGTTATAACTTTTAAGAACTTCTGTTAAAACTTTAATGAGTTCTTCTTTGGTAAGTTTAGCCATTACCTCTTCTGCATCATCATCAGATTCAGATTCTGATTCATATCCAGAGGTACCTTCCTCTTGATCCTCTGTCCTGGCCATCAGTGCAACGTTTGCACATTCTTCTTCTGATTCAGAAGATGACTCACACTCATCTGAGTCATCCCATGTTGCCATCAGAACCTTCTTCTTCTTGTTGAACTTCTTCTTAGGTTTTTCTTTCAGAAGTTTAGGGCAGTCATTCTTGTAGTGCCCAGGTTCTTTGCACTCATAGCACACCACTTCTTTCTTGGCAGATCTTCTGTGACTAGAAGATTCCTTTCTGTTGTCAGATCTTCTGAAGTTGTTAAACTTCTTTCCCTTGTGCTTCCAGAGTTTGTTAATCCTTCTGGACAGCATGGATAGCTTATCTTCTTCTTCAGAAGAAGATTCTTCAGAGCTTTCTTGAATGACCTGCAAAGCTTTAGCAGTTTTGTTAGATTTTAAAGCTATGGATTTACCTTTATCTTTCTTCTGGGGTTCATCTTCCTCCAGCTCAATCTCATGGCTCCTCAATGAACTGATGAGTTCTTCTAGAGAGATCTTGTTCAGATCTTTGGCCATCTTCAGGGCAGTCACCATTGGTCTCCATCTGATGGGCAGACTTCTGATGATTTTCTTTACATGATCTGACGTGGAATATCCCTTGTCCAGAACTTTCAGCCCAGCAGTGAGTATCTGGAATCTGGAGAACATGGCTTCAACAAATTCTGAGTCTTCCATTTTGAAAGCCTCATACTTCTGGATCAGAGCCAGAGCTTTTGTCTCCTTAACTTGAGAATTTCCCTCATGGGTCATTTTGAGTGACTCAAACATGTCATGAGCAGTATCTCTGTTAGTAATCTTCTCATACTCAGTATGAGAGATTGCATTAAGCAATATAGTTCTGGCTTTGTGGTGATTCTTGAAATCTCTTTTCTGCACTTCAGTCATTGATTTTCTATCAATCTTTTTGCCATCCTCATCAATAGGATGTTCATATCCATCAATGACCAAATCCCAAAGATCAGCATCATACCCAAGAAAGAAACTTTCTATTCTATCTTTCCAGTAGTCAAAATTTTCTCCATCAAACATTGGAGGTTTGGTACTTATCCTATCCCTCTCTTCATATTTATTGTTGATATTTGACATTGAATTATCAGCCATGATAACAAATAAATATATAGATCAAAGTATATCTCTCTGGATCTTTACTGACACTTGTTAAGTGGTAGTACACTCAGAACCGGAGCTCTGATGCCAACTGAAGGTGAGATAATACTTAGAAGGGGGGGGGGGGGGGGTTGAATAAGTATGGAAAATTAATACTTAAAAATAATCACACAATTATTTTTATCCTGGTTCGTTAAACAACTACTCCAGTCCACCCTTCCAGAGTGATTTGCCTTTCTCAACAAGGACTTAATCCACTATTAAATCAAACTGATTACAATAGTATCACCTAAGAACTACAGTTCTTAGTCTTCTCAAGAGCTACTGATTCACACTGAATCCTCTTAAGGAATATCCTTTACAATCAATGTAAATTAAATACAAGAGTTTTTAATGCTTCTATAAAGCTATAATCACAACAGTGATTTTTCTCTTAAGTTTAAGTACAATGAGATTCTATGAAGAATTTAAGAATGAGAGCTTATAGAATATGTGATTTCTTTTCAGCAAGTGTGTAGCACTGAAGAATGAAGTGAAGATCTCTTTTTATAGGCAGCTGAATCATGCAAGCTGAACATTGAAAAGAGAGTCCAAAAGGTCTGAGCCTTTTTGTCTTCACATGCACTGACCTTTCCTTGAAATAGATGGCACAGATAAATCCTTTTTGTCTGTGTAAGTGTGTCTAGCACAAATAAGGAAAGAGACGTTGAATAGTTCCAACGGATATAATCTTGAAATTACTTCTTCAGTTTCAGCAAGTTCTTCAGAGTCTGAATGGATCAGAGTCTTCTAATGAGAATCAGAACTATGCTGTATCAGAGTCTTCTGCAGCGTGTGTGCTTCTAGCGTGTTGATCATCAGAGCATCTTGACACAGAACTTCAGTACTTGGCAGCGTAGGTACTTTCAGAAACTTCTGTAGACTAATGCTTTGAGAAACTCTTCAATCAAAAATTCTTCTATACTTCTGATGCTTCAGCTTCAAATGCTTCTGATTATCTTCAGATGCTTCTGACTATCTTCAGATGCTTCTAACTCAGAATGTTCTGGAGCTTCTTGCTTCAGATCCTTCTGGAGACTACGCTCAGGATCTTCTGTAAGGAGCAAACAGATTCTTCTGTAAGGTGCATCTGGCGCTTCAGAGTTAGAATAACTTCTTGTATTCAAGACAGATTTGCTTCTAGAGAGTTAATATAAATTTAATCTGCAATAAAACTCTCAAACAAATTTTAGAGTATATAATTCTTAAATATAAATTTCCTAACAGTTATCATCAAAACAAAGAGTAATTATTAAGAACCAATCTGTGTTCTAACAGTAATAACCTATGAGGGAGAATAAACATTTAGGAAAAGTGATGGCACACCCATTGTATTGGCTACAAACCCTCGAATCTCCATCTGGGAGAAACATTATTCAGTCAGTTAAAAGACCTGCATTAGTCGAATTTTGTACTAAAATATCTTCACGAACAAACGCATAAGCAATCCCCAATATATTTGGATCCACCCAGTCGTCTGAAATATTCTTACAGGCCTTTTTGGTCTAGGTTGACAGAATCTCCGTGATTAAAATATGTAATGAAAGAAAAATGAATGCAGATAAAACGTGGCAAGCAAGCTCAAACATTTTTCACCCTTAGGAGAAAACACCAACCAAAAAGCAAACCCCCTCCCCCCCCCCCCCCCCCCCTCAAAAAACAATAAAAAAAAAAATATATATATATATATATATATATATATATATATATATATATATATAAAGAGATAAAATGCTCACTAAGAAACCCTAGATAAAGGCAACAAGAGCAAGTGGAGAATGTCAAACTTTCAAACTCAGAGGAAGGAGCGATACAACATGCAAGACTAGTACCAACGAATACAATCGTCTAAACTTGATCCAACGTTGGAACAACAACTCCCTTAGAAAAGAATGATAAAGGAAGTAGAAAAAAATCTTTTCCAGTGCATTAAGAGTAGGAAAGGTAAAGATAATGCTTCAAAAGCCTTTTATACCTATCCAAACATCAAGGATCGTACAATCCTCCACGCACAATCAACGACTAAGATTTTTTTTTTTAAATCTGTTCAAAAACACTCAAATACTCTAAAGAAGAAGAAACATCATTACTAACCAACTTAAGAAGACGTGTTAATCATTCTCAGTGAAATGTTACCTCTTACGAGAAACACATTTAAAATGTCTATTCATAAGAACGACAATGTCCTATCGAAAGCTTCCAAATCCATAAATTTCATAGCCGAATAAGAATACACGTCATTAACCCTCGCCCTACAAAGTAGAAATAAGGGTTTGGGGGCATTTGTTTCAAGACGTCTCCAATGTCCAAAAGACAAAGGCCCACCAATGAAGCAACAGTAGAAACAAGGGTTTGGGACATTTGTTTCAAGACGTCTGCAATGTCTGAAAGGAAAAGGCGCACCAATGAAGCAACAAAGCACTGAATATAGAACATGCAGACTCTTTCTTTCGACTGAGTAGGCAATCCCTCACACAAGTATCATGTCAACCGTCCAAATCAATTTGATTGTCCGCATCCACGCCGTGCCACTCACATTCAATTGTCAACCACTTCTCATATTTTAAATAAGAAAATGTGTTATTCCTCGAGTATTCAAATTCTCTCTCATTCAAACATCACTTTTCACTCATACTGACTTGAACGTTGTAGTATTAACTTTATAGCTCAGTGTGACTTGAACGTTGGAGTATTAACCTTATAACTTAGTGTTTCTCTACCGCATTGAAAACTCAAAAACAACAGTCCGATCAACTCCAATTCCACTAAGAAACAAAAACAACGTTGGAGTATTAACCTTATAGCTCAGTGTTTCTCTACCGCATTGAAAACTCAAAAACAACAGTCCGATCAACTCCAATTCCACTAAGAAACAAAAACAAATTGAAAATTCAATAATGGTATCTTTTATAAAAGTTTGGATACGAAAGTGATATGAAGAAATGATCGGTCAGTCATTATCGATAAACCTTAAAAATGACAAAAATAGTTACCGTACAAAACATTACAAACATTCCGCTTCATTCTATCATACTTTTGGAGCTATATATTTTCGTAACATCTACTATTTTCTTTGAAAATTTTACCCAAAAAAGATTCAGTAGAGCCTTGTTCAGCTTGCATTGATTGTAACCGAAGAAGGTAGCAAAATAAGTTGTGTCTATTGATTAATCATTAAAAGAGACAAGTAAAGGCAGATGGAATTTTCCAGCAAATTTTAATCAAAGGCATATATTCAAGTTTATGTTCTCATGCCACAACTTACAATTTATTGTGGTACGGAGAATTGGATATTGACATGAAAAGAAATATTTGTACATGTACAGAGATACAATAACAACTTTTTGTGCATATACAGAGATACTAAGCTTATGTACAGAGTGCACAAAGAATGGTTAGAAAACCTAGAGTATATCTACAGAAAGTCCCATTGCCAATAGACCTTATCTACAATTCCTCCTCCACTTTTAACGGCTAGGTGGAGTGTCTCGGAAGCTGGAGGAACGCCCCATAGCAATGGTACCGCAACGGTCATGGTTAGCTTTTCATGCAAATCACCTCTGCTTGCCTTCTCTGCAGCAATCACCTGTGTGCCATATAAAATTAGCTCTAATGATCACAGAATTTGGGTGTACGTGATAAAATAAAAAGTTGCAAAGTAAAAGCTTCCAGCGCAAACTCGCATCACAAATCACAACCCAGTAACTCTGCAGAAGAGGAATTGAAATCATACGGGGAATGGTATGGGATTACAATATAAAAACCTGAAATCTTAGTGATTTCGTTGAAAAATGTACGGGAAACCTTATTGTTTGAGTTGAAAACTTGGTGCTGTGTTGTATTATGAGGGTGCAGAAGTTTATATGAATTGGAAGTAGGTTGAAAGAAGCAAAACATAATGGGATCGTGGTACACAACTTATGTCACTTGTGCATGCCAGAATTAGTTATTATTTGATTGCTAAAAGAAAAAAAGATTGTTACGTAGGATAGCCTACCTCCCCACCATGCTCCAAGACAGTATCTTCCACCACATCACTAAGCATTTCAATAGAGCGGCAGAAACCAAAAATGCAGAGCCTTCTGCTCATATCAAGTCCCTGGAAAGAGGACATTCAAATTTATAAGACGGCAAAAGATAACTCATAAAGAAGGTTACATCAAAAGAATAAGTACTCACATTTGTAGCTGCAATATCAAAGAGTGCACCCAGGCAAAGGCCTTGATTGGGGTCCATATAGTTACTCTCTTGATACCGTTGATATTTTTTAGCAGTTTTGGACTTCCCTTGCTTCTGTGAAACAAGAGAACTTGCTTAGCCAATCTAAAAGAATCTCTGACATTGAAATGGATTTAAACAAGAAGATGGTTCAGACTTCAGACATAATAAAGACTCAAGAACTACATACTGTGTCTTGGCCTTAAAAACTACGCCAAGTGTTCAAAATGAAAGACCTTTAAAAGCAAGTACAGAATAAAAACCTTATAATCACAGTAAGAAGTATGTTGAAAATGCTAAATAGTAATAGAACTACAGACTCATCCTTCACCAAAAAACAGCTTAACCTTTTAAAGTAGCTGGGTTCTCAATACAGTATCAAAGCATCTTGAATGAAGTGGTTTTCATCCTCTTCCAACAGAGATAAACTCCAACATAAGTTTTAAGTGGACAATTTTGTTTGGTGTAATTAACTAAAGATATGAATAAAAAACCCAGCTGGCTCTCTCCAAAAATAGTCACAATTTTGAAACCGATAATTCTTGACAAAAGATCACTGTTGCAATGTACCAAAAAGATACATGCAACTCAATCTAGAGTCTAGACATAACCAAAAAACTATCATTGTGGGATAATCAAGGTTCATATTGTTTAGTGTTTAAACTGAAAGCAAAATGGAGAAAAAATGAATGATAAAATCATACATCAGAAGACCTGGTGCGACGAGGAGTCATGGAGCCTCCGATCTGGACCAGTCCATCAGCAGTGAAGAATGTAAATCTGTCCTGAGGAACCCATTGAATTTCTGTGAGAAGTCACAAACACAAATTAAACTAACTGACAATACATCTATAATATATAGTTTTAAACAATAAGAAAGCCAAAAAATTCTCAAAATCTCCATATAATCAAGTCACCTACTTTCCCTAAAATGCAGATCCTAATTGATGATAAAGTAAGAAATGATATTCTTTGAACTATAAAGCATTGAATCCATACTCACAAACATCTCTAATCTAAATATATGTAAAACAAAATCCTCTAGAGGCTACTGCTCCAACAAAATCCAACATAATTGAAGTTGTGAAACCTTAGTTTCAATCCACAACAAGCAATTTTTTAAGCTCAATTTCAACACATATTGAATTTGATGTAAGAACCCTAATTGACTAACTTAATGTGTATCACAAAATTTATTAGATTGATAAAGACATAAAAAGAAAGCCGATAGAGTTTGAAATTGAAAGAAAAAGAAAGCAGATAGAGTTTGAAATTGAAAGAAAAAGAAACAAGAAGAGCGCACCACTGTCGGAGTCAGACCAAGGAAAGAACTCGAAAGGATCTTCATCGGAGTTGTTGTTATTGGAATGGTTTGCTTTGGGGGTGAAACGGAGAAGACGAGGTTGAGATGATGAGAGGGGGAAAGAATTGGTATTGAATGTGAAAGATTTTGAAGGAGAAATGGAATTGAATGGTGGAGAAGAGAATCTGAATCTGAAAAGGGTTGAAGTTTCCGCCATTGAAGAAAATGAAAGAGAGAGAAAAGGAGTGAACCACACGTATTGTGAAATGAAATTAAGACTAAGCGGTTGATTTATTAGGAAATATCGGTGGTGGTGCCGCCCGTTCGGACAGCCAATGTCTTTGTCACTCAGTTTGAGGTCGTTATTTCTGTATGCAATTACTAGAATTATTGATTTATTATTATTGTTTGCCAATTTATCCGGATGAGATGAGGAGAAATCCACAAGGATCATCATATACACGTGCTTTTTTATATTACTTGTACCCTTACCCTTACAGAGTTGTGTTTTGATATCTTCCCGGCTCGGTTTTTATTGATTTTGAAGGAAAATATCATCCAATTTAAAGATAAATTTATTTGTGATTTGGTTCGGTTTTGAATAATTGGTTAAAAATATTCTATCCAATTTTATGCGGTATTTTGGATATCCAAATTACAAATTATAATTTTATTAATATTGTAAAAAGACTAATAAATAATGAATTTGATATATTATATAACATATATTATATTAAAAGTTAATACTACAAAATAATAACGATCGATTATGATTGAAAAAATGAAATAATATAAATTAATAGATTAAATAAAACTAATAAATAGTATTTTATATAAAAAGTATCATATAATAATAAATTAACACAACGTATTATACTAATAAAAAAATAAATAAGTATAAAAATATATACATGCGGTTCGGTTTGGTTTGGATCGGTTTTAACAAATCAATCCGAAATTCGATCCGAACCGAGGGGTTTTTATAAAATGACATCCAAACACATCCAATAATTTTAGTTTTTTGTGATTTTCGATTTTTTTAGATCGGTTTGCAGTTTTTATTTGAATTTGTTTGGATTTGAACACCCCTAATTGTGCTAGTTTACTAGAGTAGAACACAGAAATATATATATATATATATATATATATATATATATATATATATATATATATATATATATATATATATATATATATATATATATATATATATATATATATATATATATATATATATATATATATATATATATATATATATATATATATATATATATATATATATATATATATATATATATATATATATATATATATATATATATATATATATATATATATATATATATATATATATATATATATATATATATATATATATATATATATATATATATATATATATATATATATATATATATATATATATATATATATATATATATATATATATATATATATATATATATACATCTCAAGGATGGGTTAGATCACCACTTTACACATTACCTATGATTTGGTATATTGTAAGAATGGTAATTACTATTGTAATCACTATAAGTATAGTTAGCGTTTATCGAAAGATCCGGTAAAAGGTCACCACAGAGTGAAAAGTCACCACCTAGACGACTGCCACTAGCATAAGAAGGAGATATGGCAATTTGTGTAAGAAAGGCATCTCAGAAGATACGTTCAGGGTACAACGTTCAATTTTGGAGCGAGGAATCAACCTTCTATTTGGGATAGGATTAGGAGCCCTAACCCAAGAGAGATAAGTGTTAGCATGTAATCTCGAGAGGTCAATGATTTTATTAAAACTTGATAATTGTATTGAATTATTTATTAATAATAATGTTCTTGCTAAAACATTATTTGGTTAATCCTCCTGAAGTCATTCAGGTGGGATCGCAATCGTCCTCTTTGTAGGAGGTATGTTAGACAGGGATGAATGGTCACTATTGTTGGTGGTCTAAGGTTTTTCATATGTTTCCTCCTTTTTGTGTTATTCATCAACCAGACCCCCTTCCTTTTGTGTGGTATGAAGGACCTTTTTATTTGACAAGCTTTGCCCCCTCCTAGAAATTGAAGAGATCTAGTTTAATAGGTTTTAGTAACCATTAATAATTCATAATCGTTTCAACCTTTAACCCTTATGTAACGGTTTTGGCCATTGATTGCTCCAGGGACATCATAAGGGCTCCGACTTAGACAATTTTTTCAGAGCCCGGTGAATTAAGTCTGAGATGTTCACGGAACTTGTTGCCCGACCACATAAAAATTATGGGATGTACTTAAGCCCTTAAAGCACGAGGCTTGTAAGGGTGAAGTGTTTTGAGTTTATCCCGGATCACGCAAACTTATCATAATCGTGTTTTAATAGAGTAAACTCCCTTTAAGTTTGTGGCATTGAGGATGGATCAATTCCTGTTGCATATTAGGAATATTTATGATTTTGATGAAGGAGATAGAGAACCAATGTCGATTCGCGATGTAGAACCATCAGAGAACCTAGGTGGGATCTTGATCCGTTTGAAGTCATAGAACCCGATGGATTTTAGACATAGAAAAGTTGGAGAGCCCTAGTGGGATCTTGACCCATTTTGTGTCATATAACCCGGTAGGTTCTAGGCATATATAAGTTAGGGAGCCCTAGGTGGCATCTCGGCCTATTTGCATCGTAGAAATCGATAAGTTCTAGATAGAGAGAAGTCGGAGAGTCCCATGTGGCATCTTGACCTATTGGCGTTGTAGAACTCGATAAGTTCTAAACATAGAGAAGTCGGAGAGCCTCAATAGGATCTCGACATGTTGGCATCGTAGAACTTGGTAGGTTCTAGATAGAGAGAAGTCGAAGAGCCCCAGGTGGCATCTCGACTGGTTGGCGTCGTAGAACTTGGTAGGTTCCAGACGCAGAAAAGTCGGAAAGTCCTAGTGGGATCTCGACCTATTAACGTCCCGTTATAGTTATGCCAATGCTCAGCCTTAGAATTGTGATAGCCTGTGTGAGGTTTCGAATATTAGTAGTAACCAAATCTTGAAATATTCAGATGTTCATAGGTTGGTAGATTTCGAGTATATCTTGCTTCATTTTTTACATGACCCAGGTGTGTCGGGATCCGTTCCCTAGAGAATACTTAATGTGATTAAAATCATAGTTATTTCTCATCGGGGCATTGACTCACAATTGTGAGTACAACTTCACCATGAGATGTTTTGCATGATGTCAAAACTGTGAAATTACTTTGCATTTTGGTATATTGAACAGTAGTTCTGAGTATGTGTGGATCTCTTGCATTAGAGGTCTTAGGAATCATCAAAAACCACCTTGAACTTGCCCAAAAACATGAAAAACATATTTCTGCACAAAAATGCACTACTTGTGTCTGCACATACACATTTCAAGTCGGTACATGTAACTCAATATTAAAGCTTGTAGTTTCTGTCTTGTTTTGGTTGACACACACCTTCTTCAGGTCGGCACATGCTAAAAGTTTTACCATTATGTGTCGGTACATACGTGCTTCAGACCGACACATCTAATGTCCTAAATAAGGTTGTAGTTTCTGCTTCATTTGGGTCGACACATACGTGTTTCAGGCCGGCACATCTAATGTCCTAAATAAGATTGTAAATTTTGTTTCATTTGGATCGGCACATGGATCATTTCAGGTCGGCACATGATATTATTTTTAACAGTATGTATCGGCACATCCAACGTTCAGGCCGACATATGTTGTTTAATTTAGGAAGTTCTGTTTTTTTTTTACTCTGAAAATTACCTATTTGCCACCAATCTTCCAAAACTATAAATACATTATTCATGCTTCTTTTCAAAATGGTGATACCATAAAATTATCCTGCATTTGCTCATCATCTTCAACCTCCGTCCTATGTCTACACACTGAAAAATTACACATAATAATCTTTTATTGGGGTGTTAGCTAGGCGAAGGCCTGATAAGGTCCAATTGGGTTCTTGTGTAGCCGAGATATTGGGTTGAGATTTGTAGGGGCCTTCATCTGGAAAAACCGCGGGTTTTTCCTCCAAGATCGTGTGAAGATTTGGGGGTTTTCGTGCAAGACGTTCAAGAGACGATTGCGAAGTTGTGAAAACCTTTGAAGATAAAGTATGCAAAGGACCCTTTGGAGATAAAGAACGCAAAGGAAGTAACGGATAATGACGAATCAAAATGAAGTCTTGTGGAACAATCAATGCAATTGATCGTGCGCGAAAGCTTTCGAGATAAAGAATGCAAAGGAGTAGCAATATCAACAAGTCAATTGGTATCCATTGTTGTCTTGGTCTTGCTCAAGATCAAAAGAAGAAAAATGGTTGAATCAACATCAGAACCTATAATGTTTGTATGGTTTCTCTTGAACATTTTTCTTGTAAATCGAATTTTTGCAGAGTAAGAAAGTATCATAATTCCACATTGGAAATTAGGCGCAGACGTACCCACACGCGAGGACGAAAGTGGGGAACTGCGTGAACAAATCCTCGTTTCGATCTCTCTATTATCTCTTTACTCGTTTTATTTTTCATTACATAATTTGTCAAATAACATTGATTAATCGATCGACTCATAAGAATTTTCCTGTGATATTTGTGTTTTAACTTGGTTGTTTATTAGCTTATAATCACTTTTGATTATAAGTGGTTTTCATATCAACAACAACACAAAGGAAATTCTAAAAATTCGTTCGCACACAAAGTGTTTGATAAATTGCTTAGTTCAATATTTTCTGCTTATTATCATTGGAAACAACATTACTAAGTAATTAGTTTTAAACGAGTAATAACTTGATACTCGATTAAAGGTTAAATTCGATTATTGTGTTTGTCATTCCATAATTGGCTTTGCATATCCGAGTTCCAATAACTAGGTTCGTGTAGACGATTTTTGTCGATCCACACCAAAACCTTCCGCGTGCACTCTTTTTCAAATAACTTTAAAACTAAAATTTTATTTGGTAATTTTGGCTTGAGTGTCTACTCACCCCCCTAGACAAGTCACTATCGTCTAACAACAATATCTTTGCATGTTTTCCCAATCCTTTGACAATAACATTCGAGCCCTCATGAGATTGTTTTAGTTTGTGACCATGTTAGTCCTTTTAGATTTGTTATGCAGCCCTAATACGGTTTATTTCTTTGATAATAATTGATTTGTTCGGATGGAAATCAAAACAACATGGTGGGCCCTAAGTGGATCTTAGC